TTCTCTAAACACTGTGTGCCTCCTCACAAGCTGCTCTGATTTTTCTAGAAAGCCCATCGTTCTACTTCGTTCTTATCCATTCTTCATGACTCAGTTCCAATATCCACAGCTCTGAAATCTTTCCTGTGTCCCCATCCCCACCCAGCTAGATCTTTTCTGAATTTCCTCCTCTATCCTCATTCCTCCCTTCCTTCCCTCTCTCTTTCTCTTCCTCCCTCTTTCCTACTTCCCTTTCCACTCAATCACAAAACACTTCTTGAAGCCTGTGGAAATGTGGCTTGTGAGATGGCGCTGGGAGATGGGTGGGGGTGGAGAGTAGGGGGAGACTCTGCCCTGGGCCCCATTATTGCCCAAACAAATTCTCGAGAACTGAGTCTTTTTTAACCATTTTAGATAATAAAAAATGATTTCAATGTAAGTGAAAAATTCAAGAGGAAGCAGTGTAAAATATCTTTGGTCAGAATAGGAGATGATATAGGAAAAAAAATAAAAACATGGTATACTTTTTTGTCTGTGCAATCCTTCAGCAACCAGCATTCTTGCTGACTAACAATGCAGCCCTGCCCCAGGCTGGTTCCCAGATATTACATACATTAATAGGGCTACACCTCGGAGGGCCTAACCAATGTGACATGATGAATGGAAAGCTCCTGGGTGATGTCAGATGCTCAGGAAATACAAATTCCGCCCCATCACAAAGGTTTAAGTGTGATCAAAGTACTGCTTTGGGAATGTGCCTCTGGTGTGGGTATGTGTTCCTTGTGACTGTTTTGAGGGGAATAGAAGAGTCTTAGCTGAGGCAATAAAGTCTTGAACTGGGCGATTAAAAATGGAAATGGAAAATAAGATATAGTTGAAAGATACCTGAAGAATCAAAGAACTTAAAGACATTGGTAATTAAGAGGATATGGAAGGTTTTTTTCTGCTCTGTGCTGCTCTATATCATGAACTTGACTGGTAATCCTACTAGGGATCGAACCTCTCTCCACAGGCCCCATCTACTAATCTTAGAGCACAATGCTCTTTTGTTCTCCGAATTCCCATAAGCTAGCACCTGATGATGTGTCTTTCTTTTGCACCGATCCTGTCCTAGACCTTCATATAGTCCATTCCATTTTCTATCTCTTACAGTGCTAGGTACACTGGAGGAGTCTGATATGCATTTGCTGAACCACCACTCCCCAACAGGTACAAAAATCATATTTTTAGAAAAACAGATCTGAAACATTTCACTTGGTAATTTCTTAAACCTTTTTCACCAGTCTGATTTAGAGCAGATATTGAATCTCTTTTCACTCCAATGTCTTGGTTTTCAGCTGCCTTAGTAACTGTATGACCAGCCATTCTTCTTTTGGAAAGAAAGATCCATTATTTAATACCTTATGTTATTATGTAGGTTTATAATAGTACCTGCCTACTCTGTAGGAATGTTCCACATACATGAAAGAACTCTTCTTTATATGTAGGACTTTCACCAGACATTTAAAAAAAAAAAAAAAAAGTAGATTTCAAAAACAGGGACTAGATAGGTTTGAAAGGTTTGATATGGGAGAGAATGCAGGGCAAAGGAGAACATGGGGTCCTAGAGCCAGGACTCTCAGGAGATGGCCCTGGGAGCCGAACTGCCACGGGGCACACCTTGGAAGGAAGAGACGCAGACACCATACACACAGGCATCAGGCAGAGATGCCACCTTGAGGACTTACTTCCCTATTATTGGAAATACCCTCTTTTCTTTTTACACAGAGAGAAAATTTTCAAGAAGAATTCATTTTTATGAATTCTGGTCTTTAGTATAGCAACTTTGGGAATCATCAAGAATAGATTTCTTACCCTTTATTTCAAATTTCTTGACCCTCAGGTGTTCCTTCTATTCTTTGATAATTTAGTCTAATAAAATCTGCCCTGTCCATTAAAACAATAGCCCAAAAATAGCATAGTTAATACTACTTCTAGAATGTAAGCAAGAAAAGAACTTAAATGGCAAAAAAATACAGATTTTATGTTTCCTTTCTTCCTTCTTTCATTCTCTCACCATGCACTTATTTAGTGCCTATAATGGGTCTGCCTCTGTTTTAGGGTACTGAGAATACAAATATAAGACATTCTCAAGAAGTTCAAAGTCTAGAGGAAAAGCTGTATGAAATGAATAACCACAATGTATTATTCTGCACCCACACAGTGCTGCTATCTGGGGCACCCAGATTACAAGGGGAGTGATCAGGAAATAGGCAGGATCTGAGTTACATCCAGAACCATAAGGAGCCAGTCAAAACCAGAGCTACTGGGGATAATGAGAGACAGACAGACAGAGAGAGATGGATATAGATAGATGGAAAAAAGGAAGGGAGAAAGGAAGAAGGAAGGGAGAAAGGAAATACACGAATGAATATCTATTAAGTGAAGAGGTTCCAAGTGGTCTGTTTGTGTAGGGGTGCGGGGGGACGGTAGTGAGAAAGGGTGGAGGGCAGTAGGATTGGAGTGACAAGCAGAGGTGAAAACGCGGGCTTAGGCCATGTGTCCCATCCTAGAAAGTACAAAAACTTGGTGGAATTATGGAAAGGTTACAATCGAGGCAGAGAAAGAATCGGATTTGGTAAGATCATTCTAATAGTCAGAGGACAGTTCTGACTGAGCAAGACCAGAGGTACAGAGATGTGTGCAATGGAGATGGACAGAGGGGTAAAAAGTTAAGGCCCGTTGGGGAGGTTGCGATACAATGTGGGACTCTGGAGGGTTGAAAATAAGCACAACTTACAGATTTGTAAGGGGCAGGACTTCAGTTTGAGGAGATGGTTAGGAGTAGACAGTAGGGGGAAGCTAATACATTTAGGTTTTGATATACTGAGTTGGGGATGCCCAAGAGGTTGCTAGAAATATATGCAGATCTCGATAGAGTTCAGGATAGAGGACAGTTCTGAAGAAAAAACTTGGGGAATCACGAAGATATGAGTGTAGTAAACGGGCCTCCTTGAAAGAGCGCCCAGACTTGGAGAAGGATTGCTGAAGGCAACCTCTCTGAGCATGCAGAAAAGGAGCACACGGAGAAGACTGAGACACAGCTGGAGAGGGGAGTGGAAAACCGGAAGAGGCTGGTGCCCTGGAAACCGAGAGAAGAGAGAACTTCACAGACAGTGCTGTCAAATCTGTCCAAAGGCTGAGTAACATGAGGACGGAATAAATATCTGCTTCGGATGTAGCAAAAAGGCAGTCATCGGTCCATTTGTGAGGACAGCACTTCCACAAGATGGTGGGGATGGAAGCCAAAGTACGGCAGAGTGATGAGAGACTGGGGAGTGGGAGGGTGCCTCAAGAAGCACGGGGGCATGGAGATGGAGGAAGAGAAGAATGCCAGTTGCCAGAGGATGTGGCATCAGAGTTCGGTTACTGCTAAAATCACTTTGTGAAAATCGTGCCAAGCACAAATCCTAGAATGTAGCAGGCGTTTAATAAATTTTAAATTATCCACTTAAAGGCCTCCTTCCATAAATAATGACCTCATGCATTTTCTTCTTTATAAGTACGTCCACAGTGACAAAGATCTGCATTCTATAAGAAATGTGAAAAGTCTCAGGCTCAGTTTTGTTTTATAAAAACTATTTCCTGGAGTACCTCAGTGGCTCAGTCAGTTAAGCATCTGACTCCTGATATCAGCTCAGGTCGTGACCTCAGGTTTGTGAGGTCAAGCCCTATCCCACCCCCCATCCCAATCAGGCTCTGTGCTCACCAGGAAGTCTGTTTGAGATTCTCTCTCTCCCTCTCCCTCTGCCCCTATCCACCCTCACACTGCCTGGATGCCCCCTCTTTCTCTCACTCAAATAAACATATCTTTAAAAATTTCCTGCTTCAAGATTAGATGATCCTAACATCTTTTATCACCAGTGTCTGAGCAATCAATGAGCAGACAGCACAAAGTCACTTAAAGGGATGATAAGTGGTAACAACTTCCATTAAGCAACTTTAGAAATAAAACAAAAGTCATGTATTTAATGTTTTACCATAACAATACTACATCATTATTTCTGGAGTTACTGATTTAATAATCAATTTCTCAACCTTTCTCGTAGTAACTTCCTCAGTTCATGAAATTTGTACTCCAGCATTAAACCTGAGTAAGACTGGGGCGCCTGGGTGGCTCAGTGGGTTAAAGCCTCTGCCTATGGCTCAGGTCATGATCTCAGGGTCCTGGGCTTGAGCCCTGCGTTGGGCTCTCTGCTCGGCAGGGAGCCTGCTTCCTCCTCTCTCTCTCTGCCTACTCGTGATCTCTCTGTCAAATAAATAAATAAAATCTTAAAAAAAAAAAAAACAAAAAACAGAGTAAAACTTAGGTTCTAAAGATCGGATTGGTCGTGCCAGAAAGTCAATATGAGAGGCAAAAGAAGGACTTCAAGAATCTGGTTACTTTAATTATTCAGTACTGCCAAAAAAATTCTCTCCAAATCACTGCTGCTAGCATCAAAAAGTAAAAGCGTCAGGCATCAAAGGAAGGAAAGCGACACCTGGGGATTAAGCTGCCTTTGCTTACTTAGGTCTCCAGCTCTCCATCGTTTTACAACAGTAGTTATCAAAATAGCAGGTGAAGTTCACTCTTAGCACCAGCTATACGCATTTTTTCCTTTTTACCTTCCTTTAGTTCAAGGAATGATTGAGACAATGCATGCAATTAACATTTCTTGGTCTACATTAGAGTAAGCGCTCATTCAAAGCAGATTCTCACACAGCCAAGGGGTGGCCATGCCTTCAGCCAGTATCTAATTTGGAACAGATGGACTCAATGTCACATTTCCCCACAAAGCTGCCATAGGAGCAGGTAGCTTGGCTCCTGTCCCTGAGGTAAATAGGCTAATCTGTCAATTAGGCAGCTGCCTGAGAAGCACTGTTTTCATCGCTTCTCTCTGGAAGACTTTCTCGGCAGCCCCAGAAGTGCCAGCTCACCCTGAAGGGCTGTGGGAACAGAATGTGCTGGCACAGGCCGTCCCACTGACCGAGAGGGGACTCACCCGAGCTGGGAGTCGGTGAAAGTGCTTCTGTCCAGGAGCAGGTTCCCACTTCCAGCTGCTGCCACTTGGCCGGCCGTCATGTGCGTCCTCCTCCCGCCTGCATCCACAGTGACACTGGGCCCGGCTTCCCTCACCATGCGGGTGCTGCGGAAGGAGCTCTGGTGCCAGGAGTGAGCGGCCCTATTCTGATTGACCACCTGCAGGGGCGCCAGTGGCCGGAGGTGCCCAGGGACAGGCCCCGAAGTCAGATAGTTCTCTTTCTCCAAGAGGTTTCCCATGCTGTGACTGGTCCCGGGCCTGGGGTACGTGAGCACCACTGAGTTGACAGGGGCATTGTCGAACACGGTGTCACTCACAGACCCATACTGGTGCTGTCTGTGGTAGGTGTCATAGTGGCGATGTCTGCTCATGGCCCCGGAGGGATTGAAACCAACAATTTCTGAGCGAGCATATCGAGGTGGCAGAAGGAGGGTGGATCTCCTGCTGTCTTGGTGCCGCAAAGTGTGCCCAGCCTGACTTCTCTGGCCATACTGGTAATCACTGTGCGAGTAATGAATCCTCTCGGGGCTGCTGTCTGGAGAAATCTCAAGTCTCCTCAGAGGCTGCCTCAAGGATCTTTCTTCCACTGACTTCTGTGAACTATACTGTGCTGTTCCTCTCCCCCAGCGACTTTCATAAGTGGCAGTGGTGCCTGTCTGCAGAGAAACAAAGTTTAAATGTGGCATAAGTCAGTTTTCATCTTTGTTAAAGACCAAGGATCCAGGACTATTACATAAGGTGTCCATTTCTCTGTCTCACATGAAGATGTTGGCCACTTTTCTTAAAAAAAAAAAAAAAAAAAAAAAAGGGTTGACTAGTTGTTTGTACCAGGATTTGATACTATTTAAAGTTCCCAGTTTTGGAGTGCCTGGGTGGTTCAGTCAGTTAACATCTGCTTTCAGCTCAGGTCATGATCCCAGGGTCCTGGAATTGAGCCCCACATCATAATCTTTGCTCAGTGAGAAGCCTGCCTCTCCTTCCCTCTTCCTTCCCTCCCCTATTTGTGTTTCCTCTTCCTCTCTCTCTCTCAATAAATAAATCTTAAAAAAAAAAATAAAGTCCCAAGTTTTCCCTGGTGTCCACACAACATCAATCTTCATATAATTAGTTTAGGGAATGGCAATATTTGAGAAAGGTAAGCATTAAAAAATAATCTATGGAAGGGGAGCCTGGCTCACTCAGTTGGTGGAGCATGTGACTCTTGATCTCAGGGTCATGAGTTCAAGCCCCATGTTAGACACAGAGCTTACTTAAAAAAAAAAAAAAAGTAAAAAAATTAAAATCTACAAAATTTTAAAAAAGCTATGAAAGTTTAAAAATGTTTTCATGGTAATCTGATAACTAGGGTTATTCCTTGTTATCCTACCTTTAGCACGTCATAGGTTTTAATACCAGGTGAACGCCGACCAGCATAGTCACTTTCAACCAAGTGTAGGTTATAGACATACTCAGGAACACTGCTGGTTCGGTGAAGATTTCCTGCAATCAAGCATATAGTAAAATATTAAATGGGCCAATCAGTAGTTAAAGATTACATAATGGATTTAAGTAATTAAGAACAATAACAAGTATCAGGTTTATATTAGTGTTTTTAAATGCTTAACATCACCCTTAGATATGGGAAATGACCAAATGTTATCGCAACATTCTTTATGAGATTTCAAAATAAAAGTTGAATTAAGAATAAAAACGTATTTTTAAAAATACTAGTTAAGTTTTTTTGTAAGAAAAAGGAAGAATGAGGAGAGACAGTTTTCACAAAGATCCAAAAATGGGGGCACCTGGGTGGCTCAGTGGGTTAAGCGTCTGCCTTTAGCTCAGGTCATGATCCCAGGGTCCTGAGCTTGAGTCCCACATCAGAGAGCCTGGTTCTCCCTCTCCTCCCTGCTCTTTTCTCTCTCGCTATCTCTGTCTCTCTCTCTCTCAAATAAATAAAATCTTTTAAAAACAACAACAATAACAAACCCCAAAGATCCAAAAATGTTTGTTATGAAACTGAGGAATTTGGGAGTCATTTATTGGCTCAGGTGGTCCATTGCATAAACATTCCATTTCTTGGGGCGCCTGGATGGCTCAGTGGGTTAAAGCCTCTGCCTTCTGCTCAGGTCGTCATCCCAGGGACAGCGTCGTCGGGCTCTCTGCTCAGCAGGGAGCCTGCTTACCCCTCTCTCTCTCTGCTTGCCTCTCTGTCTACTTGTGATCTCTGTCTGTCAAATAAATAAATAAAAATCTTTAAAAAAACAAAAAACACAAAACATTCCGTTTCTTAAGTCGGAGGAAAGAGAACTCTATTTCTGGGGTGGAAATTCTGAAGTTTCCTGAGAAGGGTATAGGTGCATAAATATAATGGTGACAAACAGAATCGTGACTCAATACTAGTAGATAAGACAGCCTGTGAGAACAGCAAGGTGGGTCAGTGCAGTCAAAGAAAACATCCACTTGAAAGGGGCCAAGCCTGGGGTTGAGGTACTTGGCACCGTGAGTTAGGCAGGGGATGAAACCATTCTCTGCACTACGAATGAGTGCTTTTGTGGAACCAGGCTCGATCTTAGTATGGTGGTCTAATCCAGCCCACTCCCCTACAAACACTGAGTAGGAGGCAGTGTTTCCTGCTCAGCTCTGTGGGTCTACAAGGACTCTCAATGGATGCATGTCTCTTAAAACAGTTCTTTTTGAGGAGAGGGGTGGTAGGAGACAGTGTTGTGACCCTCTTCGACTTTTTTACCCTTCTCTCAGCTTTCTGTTTGTTCTTCTTTTATAATCTCCCACCGCCTTACCAAAAACAAAACAAAACCTAATCAAAATAATCACAGATCTCAGGGTACCTGGGTGGCTTAGTCAGTTGGGTGTCTGCCTTTGGCTCAGGTCATGATCCTGGAGTCTTGGGATTGAGCACATCGGGCTCCATGCTCAGTGGGGTGTCTGCTTTTCCCTCTCCCTCTGCTCCCCACCCATGCTCAGGCTCTCTCTCTCTCCCTCTCTCTCAGGTAGATAAATGAAATCTTAAAAAATAATAATAATAATAATCACAGATTTCCAAAACCTAGGTAATTTCTGGTTCCCTGATTTTAACCAAAATTTCTTTTTCTTTTAAAAATCAGAGGGAAAAATACTCAATGAACTCTCCTAGGTTTCAGACTTGTGAAGGATGTGGAGAATAGAACAACACAGGCGTCCCTTTCCAATACAATTGGAATATACCGACATACTCTCCCAGCAAGACTGTTATAAACTCAAAATTTCAAAGGCTAACAATAGATTCACATTTTTTTTTTTACAGAATCACATATTTTGAGGGGGAGGGGGGATGATTGTTGCCAGAGAACTAAAAAGTATGAATCCACCCAAATTATGTTTGTACATGTGTCTTATTTCCTGAAGCCAAACAACATGGCTGGTAAACAGCTTCGGGCCTCAAAGGGTCCTGGAGGTAGGTAGGCTTGTAACTGTAACCTTTCTATAGACCAGGGAAGTTGAGGTAAGCCAGGTACCTCCTGTTTTTACAGGGGCCTGATTTCTCCATAAGGGCAGGCAAAATGTCAGGTAGCCCTATGTTTTAACCTCAATGACAGAGAACCTCCACATGGAATGAGGGAAAGGAATTCTTTACAACCCCAGAACAAAGGCTGCAATGCCTTAAAGATTCAAATCTCCATGTCCGCCTGGGGCTCCGGCTAAAGGCTGGTTGAGGCTGCCCCAGCTCTGCTCTCAGCGATCCTTCTGATCCTTTCCATCCTTCCGTCACCCAGGCTCCTCACCCCAGGCTATCAGAAAAGCAGGCAGCAGGCCACACCTCCCGGTGGACAAAATGAGGCTAGCTGGGCAGGGCTAGGGGACATCCTGGCTCTCATACTGAAGGGTCGGGGACTAGGGTGCTCTCAGCACTGGAGGTATAGAAATCAAATTTACCGTGTCTCAAAAAGAGTCATTTCAGAATTTTAGATTATATGAAAACTGAATATATGAGTCAGGGACAATCTAGAATAGGAAAATACTAATAACATATGTGGACGGTAGCTAGAACTATTAATTCCGGTTTCAAGGCTGATGATGTATGGGCACAGTTTTAAAAACCATGCAAATTTTTTTCCTGGGCCCCTCTAGCCCATCATCACCAGCAGTATTAAGGACTACCCCTCCCCTACTTTCACCGCAGACATTCAGGGACAGTTAATAGGGGACTACTTCCATTTTGAAGCTGAGATTCCTGCAAGGATTTTCTAAATGTGTAAGAATCTTTGGAAAAGATCCAGCTAAACAACGTATCTTATCAAAATAGCTCATCAGTGAGTTTTATAATCAGGCTTATTGAAGGAAAATGTTTAACTCACATTGTAGCTGGGGGCTGTAAGGCTTTTTAAAGCAACTTACATGAACTCCTTGTATCTCAATATTACTTTTCTTTAAGGAGTTCAATTATTTTATATGCTTCTTTCCAATATTCTGTGATGCAGAGCCAGCTCCTATCATCTCCTTTATAAACAAGGAAACTTAATTACTTGCTTTAGATTGCAAAGCAATTTTGTATCATGTTTGAATTCTGGGTTCCTCATTTCCACTGGTCTCTGCTGTTTGACTGCATTGTAATCTTTCTGGAACTGCCATTTACCAAAGCTCTGGTGGGATCATTATCACAGGTTTTGATTGGAAAACCAAAAGCAATCATTCTCTTTCCTCTAGAATCTTCATCTGGGCAACTCCAAATACTCTGTAACTATTAATTTTTTATTTGCTGACATAAGTCCTTATAAGGAAATTTATCCCTCAGTTTTCAGATGAATGAATTGAGACCAGTTTACTGGTTCCCAAAATAACTACAACACAGTTGGGAACAAGGAATAAAATAAGCTTGGATCTTTAAATCACAGACTCTCTTCCTGTGCGGCAAAGCCTGTACCTCCTGGTACTTAGCTTGCAGGTTTCACTGGTTAAAAGGCCAGTCTCAAACAACAAGCAATGCATACTGATTTGCCTAGGCAGTCATGAATTTGCCATCAGTATAGTGGCTTAAAGATGAATTAGCAGCTGTATTCTAAGCAGCTTATTCTTAGCAGCTGTATTCTAAGATTTTATGTTTTTAAAGATTTTATTTATTTGGGGGGGGAGAGGACAGAGGGAGAGGGAGAAGCTGACTCCCCACTGAGCAGAGAGCCTGATGTGGGGCTTGATCCCAGGACCCTGAGATCATGACCTAAGCCAAAGGGAGACACTTAACTGACTGAGCCACTCAGGTGCCCTTGTATTCTAAGATTTTAAAGAAATTTTGAACTGGGTGGAATTAAAAAATATATATATATATTAAATAATATAATTTTATATAATTATATAATTAATAATAATTAATTTAATTTAATTATATATATATCAGGATGGAAACATATCTTTAAGACAAGTCATTTTCTGTTCAGAGGAATAAATAAATAATAACTAAACATATGTAATAACTCAGCCATGCCCTTCTTCAAAAACAGAAGAAGAAAGCAAACGAAAATAAGCATAGCATACTTACAGGCACAGCCTGCTTTAAATAAACCAACACGAAAATTCAGACTTTCTAACATGGAAAATTAGGGTATCATTATATTTCAAAGAAATTGTTCACATCACAAAATGAGGCAGTTTTCTTCCTAAACAGAAGAAATCTGTGGACTTGGCCTGGAGCCTCTACTACACTACTTTCCGTGTGCCTAGACAAATCACTTATATGCCTCAGTTTCCCATAATTCTAGTTACTAACAGAGTTGCTGAGAGAGGTTTACCTGAGAAAGCATATATTCAAATGCTTTTAAAACTGTAAAGCTATATGCAAAAATTAGATACTGTTTTTTAGAATTTGGGTTATGAAAATTCGTTTTTTACCCTTTCTCATGAAGTAATCTGTTCAAAAAAAGAGGGATAAACTAGAGTGCATGCTTTAATTTACACTGTGTTTTACTGCAGAATTTTTATTCTGGTAAATTTACCAGTGATCTTGAATTTAACTTTCTCTGGTTATTTGTGATTGACCCAGCTACTGAGGATCACAATGGCAGGACTGTGGTTTTTCCAGCCATTCATTTCATTTACACAGTGTGCAAATGTGCTTCTTGTGTCTCCTAAAGAAGGTGATGATTTATAGGAACTATTTCAAATTAATATTAATTGGGCAATATTACCCATACCTTTCCGTCTAAGAATGCCAGAGACATTTTATAAGAGAAATGAAGACTGTAGTTACAGAACAACTTTAAACTCCATCTTCTCAAATAAAAAGCAATGATAGAGCAGGGATGGGGTGATGGGAGTTGATTGTGATGGTGGAAGGATTCCAAACTGTTCAGAAGACTGCAAAGGTGTAGAACTTACAGGATAATGTAATTTTCTCTCTTTCCTGGTCCGAACGTGAATCTGAATGATAGGACTCCCTAAGTAGCTGTTAGGGGTAAAATATCTTGGTTTCTGGTTATGTATGCCAGTATTGTCCAAAAAAATGGATTATG